GGTTTTTAGGAGCAAATGGCATTGTACTCATGTGTAAGAAAGGCTCGGCAAAAGCGGTACTAAAGCTGGCTCTGTCGTCCTATGCAGCAGCGAGTCTCGAATGGGAAAGTCTAGTGATGGACCGGATTGTCAGTTTTTTTGAAAGTTTCGCATACTTTCGAAAACACGAACAACGTTATCGTACTTACTCGTACTCACATTCTTTTTATTCCCGTAGTACGCAGCTGAAGCCGCGCACCCAGTTGGCTCACTGGGTACGGAACATTGTTGTCCCTTAAAAACTCCAAGTTCAGGTGCTAAGTTGTCTAGATCGACACAACCTGTTTAGATCGCCAGGCAGAACACTGAGGACCGAACTGTTCATCTTGTTCGAAAAATTGGAAACGGTTCCACGGAACTTACTATAGGAGATAAGGCACGTCTACTTGCATCCCACAATTACATAATCCCATAATTTTTGCAGTCCTCCAGGGCTTGTACTTAGGTGGGTATTCAGTACAAAGTTCAGTTGCTCGTAGTACTAGCTTTTTCTTTCACTACGCTCAAGATTGCTGAGCTGCGATTTCATTTGTTTAGTTGGATTTCCAAACGGAAACCTTTCATCGAGCTCCATGCTGGCCAGTGACTTTCAGAATGCCCCAGAGTAACGCTGGACGAGTGGCCAGCCCTGATTCGGCATATTGTAATTCTTTCAATAACCGTACACTATTTTCCAGACCATGGAACTTGCGTACGTGATCATGGAGTGTTTACCCGGGAATCCTGTTCCAATCATTGGAAACCTTCAGGGAGAAGAGCAGACACTGAAGATCATCGAGTATGGCTTGCAACTGCTGAAGGTTCGTGTTCCGTTTGCGAGGCACTGATGCCCTATTTAAAGACAGCTTGGCACGATAAATCCAGTAGGATAAATACGCCTGGCAGGACGGGATTCCGCGCCCTAAAGCAGATGCTGCGTAGCATCTGCTCTAGGGCCCCGTCCTGCCTTTTCCAAGGAAGGTACCCTTATAAGGCCTTAGGCTGCAACATACCGACCCGGACGCCCACCGCGCCCGCCCGCCCACAAATGGACGACCGTACCTGATGCTCGTATTGCTTCATTTGCTAAGTAAAATATGAAGCGAAGGGATTGATATGAAGCGGCCGCGGTGCTGCATGGATATATGGGTACATACGTGCAGCCATATACTGCGCGGCGGTAAACCGCAGCGGTTACTGGCACTAGCTAAAGGGGAAACATGCGGAATTACTTCCCGAGCCATGAAGAACGAAGGTTTTTCTTCGCAGATTTTCGACCTTTTTAGTTCCTTTTTTCGCCATTTTCCCTACTATATAGACCCTGCTAGCATTTTAGATGTCGCCTAGGCCAATGAGCGTTCTACTCTCGGGTAAAGGTAAATTGGCACCAAATTTGTCTGGCAGGATGAACTTGTAACTAACTAGGAGTAACTTGTACTTCAGCTGCCCCCCTCAGCAAACACGTGGCATTCCAAAAGCCATTACGATCCCATATGGGAGTAGAATGCGTGGCGCCTCACGAAAAGGATTGAATAGCGCCAAATCTTTCATCATTTTGTTCGTAGTTTCTGTAATTTCAGGCGATATACGATATGCATCAATGTGGCTTCATTCATCGTGATATCAAACCCGAGAACATTGGAATGTACGACGTAAGAACTTCCACTAAAGACCTAACTCCAGGGGTTAAGAAGGGAGCACAAAAAATATCACAATGGGTGGAAAAAGGTGATTACCGAACGACGTCTCTGTTGCCTACGTTGAAGCTGAACTGCGAATCCTCGAGATGTAGTAGGCGTGGGTGCGTACCTGCGTATTCAAAACGTGAAAGGCCAAGGCTCGCTCAGATTACCGATGGATAGTTCCGCAGACAAGACATAGGCTTCATTAAGGTGAGCCTGTCCTGATTAGGGGGAAGGGACCCGGAAGCGCTAATGAGTGGACCCCTCCCAACTACACTCGAAATCCCGATGATGGTAGGCGTGGCTGCGTACTTCAACTAAACGTCGTGGTGGCTATGCTTTTGGAGAGATATTTTCATTTTGACCCAAATGTGGTCACGTCTCTGTCCAACAAAGAACAAGATGGCGGTTGTCTCAAATTGAAATCCCCACGAGTAACCATTTCTGTGCCATGTTCGAATGCCACGCCTACCCCATCTCAGGGATAGGGAGTATACCTTAACGCCCTACAATGTTATGTTATTTGTGATCTTTTTCACAAGCTAACGTTGTCCCTTTCATGCAATTTTACAATCAATGGCGTCTCTCAGAATAACATTGTGGTGATGTACGATATGGGAATGGCACGAGCGTATCTGGATGAGGAAGGCAACCACCGACCACCTCGATCTCACGCAGGAATGAGAGGCACGGAAGAGTGGAGCAGTCTTAATGCTGAGATAGGGCGAGATCAGGTCTATTTTTTCCGAATCGTACCAAACTCAAAAATAGACTACTGAGGTTTTGTTTTTGGTATAGAAAGGCATCAAGACGTTACAGAAGTGTCCGCTTTGGACACACATCCCTCCTGGGTCTCTAGCAAATACTCACAGAATGGGTGGGACGGTTGGCGTTAGACTTGAAGCCCATGAACCGAATTCAAGAGCTACGGATAAATTATTAGGTTGTTCGAAAAGTCCTGCGACACTTTGACCAATTTTTCGGACTAAATTTTCAGTCACTAAAAGACATCTCCAATCTACAAGGTAATCACCACTAAGGACTAGGACTAGTGCCCTTCTTTTGCACAGCTTCTCATTTCCATTCTTATAGAACTACGGCAACTATGATAAGAAGAAGAGGTGGACCTCATTTTTGAGTAGACGTCGATTTTCGGAATTTTTGCCTTCTTAAGGATGCGGTAGGGATCAAAAAAGGTAGTAGTTAGAGACTGCTAACTTTGATGAATAAGCTGGGTATGGTCGCATTCTCAGATCAAGATCCACGATCTTTTGGTGTGGCCTGATCCTAACATGCGGTCTTCGCATTGCCGAGCGGTAGAGAAAAATTGAGTATTTTTGAAGAATTCAAGCGTGACGTCATCCATGTTGTGAGGTTGGTTAGAGTGGACTGTAGTCCTTACCGTTATGCTAGTATCCAGAGATACCGCTTTGAAGTCCCACCAATAACCTACTGAAATCTTTATCCCATGCACATCTGCTTTTGGCTGTGCAATCTACTTTTCTCTCTGAGAGATCCTGCGAGGAACATGTGCAAGATGTACGCAAGGACCCCACCACTCTCTACCAACCACAAGATCTCACAAATGTTCCTCCAGTGTGTACAAGGAAAAAAAACTCAGTCACGGTCATTCGGTATGACTTGTCAGAGGGGTTCAACTCATGAGGCATCCTTCATAAAAATTTTTTCCGATAACCGAGACTGCGGAGAAGCATGGCAGTTGTCAGTTAGGTGGAGCCTAGAGAGGTTGCCAACTTACTGGTGGTTACGTTCGGCTGCGCCTCAAGAAGCTTGAGTAAAGGGCCGTCATTCTGTGCTGGTGGCCGACCTATACATTGCCTACTTCCGAGTTGAATAAGTCCAGCCTGGAAGCGCTGATGCAAAAGGAACTCTCTGCTGTGGCAAGCGATATCCTTCCTCAAGACAACGTAAGTGTTAGCTTCCTCGACTATGGCGGAGTTGCCCTACAGGAACTCATAATATGGGATAGGTCGAAAAGTACCTCGATCTCTGAGGTATTTTTAAGCTTTGAAAACTTCCACGGAGCCATGATATACCCATTTTCAGAAACCTCAGGAGACAATCTCCACTAATCAGAGATAAAAACATTCAAAATGATTTTTGGTCTTTTCTAGAAAAGTTCAAACAAAGTGTCGCAGACTTTCGAACAACCTTTCAAGAGCTACGGATAAATAAGTCTAGGAACTCTTCAGCCTAGTCTTATTTGCAATACCCTTGTCATGACTGCGTACGTATAGCTAATTCTACCTCAGACTTCTGTGGTGTACTCACAAACTGCAGTAATACCATAGAGGAAGTCTGTAGTTCGCAACTCGTCCTTAGTTGACTCTTGAAACTAACCCTGAATACTCATGAAAGCATCATCTCATTATTGGTCTAATTTCAGGGCCGAGTTGATGATCTATGGGGATGGTTGTATTGCCTCAACGAATGGGTAAACTGCCGAAGCCAAAAACCACAAGTATGGTCCGCCTACGATAAGGAGCCCAATATCCGGTAAGGTTTCGGTCGGTAGAAGATGTCCAACCTCTCGGACACTATCTCCATGGGAGGTCACAGAGGAGTGGTGCATATGACGGAGTGTGGGGCGCACTTCCAGCTCGCGGCGAGTGCGGCAAAATGGACGTTGCAAGCATGGTGAAGCACGCAACGTTCCGTGACAGGACCCAATCCCCTCAACGTAGCAGTGCTGAGGCGCGTCGACTCTGTCGACTATGTGCATCTCTCGTGTCTACTAGCTCTCCCTGTCTTTATAGCTCTGGTCTACTAGATAGGAAAACTCTGCTAGTGCACGCAATGGGAAGTAATGCCCCACATCCCTTAGGCAGCGTTCAGACTTCGCGACAGCAACGCTTCCGTCGCACGTTCGACGCGATCGATGCAGTCGAAAGCATGCGCATCGCGTCGATCGCGCGACCGAGCTGTTGCCGTCGCGAAGTCTGAACGCTGCCTTATGACGCGACCGCATGGCGTATCGAGTGCTGGGCGCAGGTTTCAGCATCGGGATGGAAGAAATGCCTGTCTCAGACGACCCACCTCCCTCCCTACACAGGAAACGTCTTTTTTTTGGTACAAATCTCAGAGTTTCTTCCTCCTGCGCAAGCCCTTTCTCCATCCTAACTCGCATTTTCCTGTGGTAATATAATACACATGGAACGGGAGAAAGCGCGAAAAGTCAAGAACCAAAAAGTTTCTCGCGCGTCTCGGA